GAATGCCGGTACGGTCGGTCCCTGCTGAAGTATCCACGTCTCCATTCCCAAGGCGTCGACATCCCTGGCCTTCCCCAGCCTCCCGCAGAGCGGAACGACACGCTATCAGCTTGCAACGGATAGCATGTCGCCAGGGCCGCCGCTGCGAAACGCTGCTGAGCAGCGTTTCGCAGTGCTCGAAGCTCGGGTTCTACTGTCAGAAGCTTCGAGCAGTGCTCGAAGCTTCTGACAGTAGAACCCTTCATATAGACTGGCGACGATCCCATGCAGAGCCGATTTTGTAGTGACCTCGAGGATGGGGATTGCGTTTTTCGTTTCTTGGCATGGCGTTGCGGTCGCAATTGTTATGTGCCTGCGCCAGTTGGGTTTTGTCCTGTGTCGACTTGCTGCAGAGGGTGTTGTGCTATGGGTGGTATTGTCCACGCCCGACATGACTCAGGAGGGGAAAAAACACACAGACACAGTTCATCGTCGACTCACAGGAAAATATGGAAAAGTATGGGCAGTGGGGGGGGAAGACGAAAACCCAGAAAATGTAGGAAAATGTGGGGAATCCTTTTATTTGTGTGTATTTATTTGTGTGTCCCAGGGCCCCTTCAATGACACTCGCGTACAAAATCCTCCAGGCCACGGATCGGAAGGCGGCTGGCCGGCCCAGTGCCGGTGGCTCCCACCGGTCCGTGCTGCCTGGTGGTGGAGGGGGAGGGAGGAAGCGAGAGCAGTCAGACGACGACGAACGCGCTGGCGGGAGGCAAATAGAGGAACAAAAAGTGGCATAAACATAAAACTCGGAGGTCCGCGCGGATTTCTCGGATGGGCGCTGGGGCCCCCCCGGCGGCGCCTCCAGCGCCGCCCCTGGCGCGCTCCGCGCGCCAGGGAGGGGGGTCTGGCGCCGATCCGAGAAATCCGCGCGGACCTCCGAGTCTTTATGTTCATGTCACTTTTTGTCCCCCTAGCAAAGGCTGTCCGGACGAAGCAGGTGGGCAGGCTGTCGGACAGAGAGGGTCGTTCAAGATTGCACGAAAAGCGCGGCGTCAAGCACCATCGTCCACGTCGACACGGTGGGATCGAACCGCGCACAGCATCTTCAGTTTCAGCCGTCAGGGGGTGCTTTGAGCTGCTTAAGAACACGGGTCATTCATACATCTATTAATTGTAGGTGAGCGTTTTTCTAGGTTCACATATATTTCATCAGGCGCATGTACATGTATTCCATTATATGTATATATATATAGAGAGATGCATTATCCCGCAATTATGTTCCTTCTCTCCCTCCTCCCTTCCTCCCCACTCTATCTGTCGGCATGAGGGAACAAATCCTTTTGGGGAAAAGCTTTTGAGCCGTTCCGCAAAGTTCGGCCTCCCGAGGGGCTTCCGCGTGCCCGAGCGCAGTCATTCCAGGACGGAGGAGGGTTCGAGATGTCGGTCGTCGTGGGCACCGTTGTGGAACATAACCAGCCACACCTTAGAAAACCACACCTCCCGTCGAAAGGCTTCGCGAACCTGCAGGCCGGCATCCATCATGCATCTTCTTCCCCCTCGCGTCATACTCATACTCGCCTCTTCCGAGATGTTTTTCTGGCCCTCACGGGAATTCCGTTCCAGCGGTGACTCGACAGTCTTGGTTTGACGAACGAACAACGAGCACCCATACCCATAGGGGAGAGAGATGGGGCTATGGGTGCGTGTTGTCGGAAGGCCACCGCCGTCGGACGGAAGCCTTCCCCGAGGTCCGCCAACCCGCACCCATACCCATAGCCAGTTCTCCTCCCTCCGACCCCCCTATTGGTATGTGTTGTTCGTTCGTCCTGGTGAGTCAGACTTTCATGACCGTCTGCCCTGGCGGATGCTGTATGCTGTTCGGGCATTCGGTGACTGAGATGTATAGCCTGTGCGCAGAGCCACATCCCGCTCAAGACATGGATCTGCAACTACGGCCGTGCTGTCTGGAGGATACGCCTGTCCGCGTCTCACCGTAAGAGCCATTATGCTTGACTCGGGGGCACATCCGTTAGTCAACGCGAGAGTCTTGGGTCCTCTTCAGTCCACAGCTTCACTCCGGGGCAACGCCAGGGCGGGATAGGCTCAGGGGCGATGCGCCGACCCCCCACCGCCCATTTATCGCTAGGCGCTAGGGCTTGATAGCTCACCCCGCCCAGGAACGTGCGGCTTCGTCATCGGTGGCCCATCGCCGGCCCATCGACGAATTATCGCCGATTCCAGGTCGATGTGCCCCCCCTGGACCCCCCCCCCCAAACGTTACCCATCCTCGTTCCCCCTCCTTCGTGTACTCCCGAGGGGGGCCTCTCCTCGTTCCCCTTCCTCGTTCCCCATCCTGTCCTCGTGCCCCTGCCTCTCCTCGTTCCCCTTCCTCGCTCGCCGCTCCCCCCCCCAAACGTTCCCCCTCCTTGCTGTACTCCCCGAGGGGGCCTCTCCTCGACGGCGGTGTCAAGGTTTTGTGCCCGACTGGGGTGGCCGGCCGGGAGCGCCGGCTCCGCGTGTCGCGCCGCGGGCGCGCTGGCCCACCGAGCTTCGGCGCGACACGCGTCGAGCAGTGGCGAAGCGGCCTGGCTCGCAAGAACCTTTCGTGGTTTCCACAACATGTTCTTAGAACATTTCTGGCGGAGCCTGTCTTGGTTTGACACATCAAGTTGATGATCTGAGACCATTGGCTTCTGTTCTTCGAGCTTTTTTGGGGGGTTCTAGGAACATGTCGTGGTAGGAGTATAGGAATTGTTGGGGCGGTCGGTCCCTGCTCCAATGCTGGCCACTCCCTGTCTCCCAGAGCGTCGACATCCCGAGCTTGTCGACGCCTCCCGCCCCACGCAGCGGAGCGGCACGGCACCCAGCCCGCAGGGCGCGGCACGTCGCGGGGGCCGCCGCCGTGACACTCTACGCGGACGTCCCCGGCTGCACGGGTACTCCATTCGTGAATTTCATTGGCTTCAGGGTTTTAACAGATGGTCGCAGCCACGCAGAGGGCGTGCGTAGCGACGCCCCAAATGCTCGGTCTCCAGTCCTTCTACGTGGCGGCGCCCCCGCAGGCACGCAGAGGGCACGCGTGGCGACGGGGGCGTCGCCACGCAGAGCGTCTAAAGACCAAACATTTTGAAAACCAATTGCTTCCACTACTAAAGTATGAGCTAGCCCCCCACCGCGATTGCCTGGGAGACTCCGGAGCTTGTGAAAACGTCGGCACGTACTTATGTGCGTTTTTTTTCCGACGCTCCTAGGAGTGAGTTTTGGGCAGAAGCAATGTTGCAACAGTCGTGTGCATTTCCAACTGAGGCCGGCGAGGAGTAAAACCCGAGAGATCATCTCAATTAAGTTCTTTTAGCATTATTGATGGATGGGTTAGGCGTTGTGTCAGAATTTGTTACTTGTTGTCAATGCTTTGTTTTTCCCAACCAGCATGAAAATATTGAGGGGGTTCGTCCACTACATTAAGAGAGTTTTAGGAGGCGCCTAAATACTAGACAATTGGTGTCTCGTGCGGCATCGTTGGCGATAGGCGATTCCGCAGCGACGTACGCAAATCCACTCGACGGTCGTCGAGGTAATGCACCCGCTCAAGCAGACCAACGCGCAGGAATGCAGGCCCGAGAGTTCGGGCCATGGGGCAAGATCGGCGGGTTTCACCAACACGCCGACGACCGTGTTGTTCTGCAGCTTGGTCGACATACCGGTGCCGCGAAGCTGATCTGAATGGGATCCGTGCTATTTTCGGCTCAGTTGATCTAGCGCGGGATGTGCGCGTTTCGCTGGTGAGGGCGTCGGGCCCTACTTCATTGACGAGCGCGATGCGTGGCGTGTTCGAGGCAATAGCGTCGCCGTTCGGAGAAGTGCGTCTGTCGCCCGAGCAGGTGTTCTACATGGCTCTGGCGCAGCGCCTCTTCATGACGAACATCATCATGAATTTTCCACTCTATTACATGCCACCGTTCAAGTACTGGTGCGGCGGCGATGGCAACAACGCGAAGTTCCCATGTAGCATCTCCTGGATGATTCGGAAGGGGGCTCCGCGCTGCTCGACGTTTTGCACGTGGCTGCCGGGATGGGTGTTTCTTCTGTATGCGGCTTTCCTGCATGAGCAAAGCAACGCACTGGGTATACAAGCGCTTGTGCTATCAATGTTCGTCTCTGGATTTATCACGTGCATTGCATTTCCGATTCGTGAAGACATCCCGATGGGGTCCCATGACACGGTGCATGATATAGGTGCCATGGTATACGTTGCTCACCATTTACTATTGAGTGAGTGGTTTCTTGGTGTGGATTGCCTTTTTGGCTCAAACTTGCATGGATTGGGATTCACAGTGAACACCCTCGTGTGCGCTGCCGTTCAGCATTTACGCAAGAACGACAACCGACTTGCGCGACATCTGTATGGCAGGTGGTTTTGCGGTTCGCCGGCGCAGATCAGATACGACAGCTACCTGTACATTATTGAGCTCGTGTTTGCAGTCACCGAGAACTGCCTGTTCATCTTCTTTGTTTCCGGGATGTCCTCGGGATCGGCAGTGGGCAGTTGAGACGGGCGCGCACCTCGCAGGACGCGATGCTGCCCGGGGCCTCCGCTCACAGCGCCCGCCTGCCGAGCCGCGTCGACTCCCCGACGAGCGAGGCCGCGTGGGGCCGACTGGGCGACCTCCCCGCCCCCTCGGGCTGCCCGTGTCCGCCAATCGCCCCTCCCCCTCCCCGCGCCCCCAGAGACCCCCACGGATGGAGTCCTCCAGCCCGACAGCGGCTCGTCGTTTATCTTCATCATCGTCATCGTCTTCGCCATCAGCAGCATCATTCTTGGCACCGGTTCCTGGGGACCTCTTGGTGAGCTCCTCATGACCCAGCACTGCGTGAGTCCGCGTGCTGCTTGCCCAGTTTGCGACCAGTGCCACTGTCAGATCCGAGCCATAGTGCTCAGTGGCGCTGCCCCCCTTGTTGCATTTCAAGGCTGTCGCAGGGTGAGGCAGGGACAGGATGGCGGCACACCTGGTGCGCGGCAAGAGTCAGGATGAGGCACAGGATGGGGAGAGGGAGGCAGGTCGGAAGACAGTGGGAAGAGCACATGGACATGGCAAGGGGGCCAGATGGGTGGGACGGGGACGCGGGGGGGGGGGCGGAAGAGAAGAGCGTCAAGGACGTCAGAGACCACCGAGGCAGAGGAGCAGAGGCAAAGCAAAAGAGGCAAGGCAACAGTCGACGGAGAGTTGCAATCCGGCAGCCCAGGATCCTGCCCGGGCACTGGCACTCGCTGCAGGCGGCCGCGGCCTATCTCTGCTTGCTCATGCCATCCTGCCCCCCACCGCCCGTCTCCCTTCTCGGCACCCCCTCGAAGGGAACCTCCTCCTCCCTCCTCCTATCTCCTCCTCCCTCCCTCCTCCTATCTCCTCCTATCTTCTATCTCCTCCCTCCTCTATCTCCTATCTCCTATCTCCTATCTCCTCTCCTATCTCCTAACTCGTCCCTCCTCCTATCTCCTCCTCTACCTCCTCCTGAGCTTGCAAAAAGGCGTGCCGAGGCCTGCTCCTGGTCCGTGGGGCCGCGTGTCGGCTGCGAGGGCGCTGCTGCGCTCGGCCTGGCCCGCCCGAGTGTCCAGAGGAGCGCCCGATGCCATCACCCAGCACCGCCGGATCGTGAAGAGCCCCGAGCGGTCCCGGTCCGATGGTGTCCCAGCCTTGGCCTCTCGTCGGGGGCGGAAAAGAGGGGGGTGATGACTAGGGGGGGTGGACATCATGGCGGGGGCCCTGATGTTTCCTCAGATCTCATGGCGCCTCTTCTTGTTTCATTACGTCCCTGGCCCCCCCCCTGGGCCGCGCACATGCCGCTGGTCATGCTTTGCACCCCCCCCTCTTGGACACCCCCCTCTGGGCCGCTCCCGATCTCGGGGGCCGCCAAGCGGTGTGGTGGCCACGCCGCGTCGTGAGCCAGCGGGGGTCACCGCGCGGTCTTGGGACTCGAGGCCTTCTCCGAGGACTTCTCGAGCGCCCGGGGCCTCCGAGGTCCCATAGCAGTGCGGTGACGGACCGTGCGGCGGTGAGGTCGTTTCGAACTTCTTAGCTGCACAACGAAAGGTACCCTGTTCGCCCCTGTTCGTTCAACGATCCACTGTATTCTCCTACTCTCTTCACACATAAAATTGGTTTCTTTTTCCCAGATGTGCCGTTCATGATCTCATGGGAGAACGCAATAGTTCGATAACCATGTGTGCACCGATCGCACTCAATAACAAACACTTTCTCTTTGCGCTCTGCTGCAGAAGCAAACAACTATCAAAATCTCATTCTGTAGGCGCATGCGTTTTCTTGAAGAGCCGTCTCCCCGTCGAAATCGAGGGCCTCCACACAGACGCACCTCGCTTCCCCGCTCCTCGTGCTTTCTTGACGGCGGGCTCGACTGTTTCGGAGGGCATCTCTTCTGATCCAGCACTCAAAATAATATGTAACTTCAATGCCTGACATTCTGAAGGTCCCTCCGGTATGATCTGAGAAGCGTTTTTCATGCGCATCTGTTACCACGCGCTTGGGGGCCCCCGAAGCCTCGTCTCCCTCTTCTCCTCCTCGGGATGCAACTCCTGGGTGGCTAAATGATGAATCGGCGCGGGTACGTCCCTTTTCGAAAACTGGCCCAGTCTTGGCCCACGCCCGCTTGATCTGGCTTAATCCGGCCAGATCCCGATCGATCCAGCTAAATCCCAAGCCTGATCGGGCTGAATATCGACTGGTGGTCTCTTCGATTCGGGGGTTGCTGAAGGTGCCCCTGGCCCAAGGCGCCCCCAGCTGTTCGCTCCATTCTGGAGCCCCTGGGGCCCTCTGGGCCTCGTGTTGGCGTGCTCTGGAAGCCGTGGAGGCCTCCCTGGAAATCCCCGGGGTACCCCGGGCCAGGAGCACTTCCAGCAATCCCCGATCAATCGGGTTCAGTACTGTCGGGCCGCTGAAGAAGGAGCCCTTTCCATTGGGGAGGGCCTCGGGGTTCCTTGATTGTTTTACAGCTTGTCGTAGGTGATCCTTGGATCTTCTATGGGAAATCGAAGCCTAACTTACGGAACAAAACGGGGTCCCGATGGCAGCGTTTCGATTGCAGCCCGTAATCGCTCTGACGAAGGCTCTAGGCCTCCCCGATGGGGTCCGAGTAGATGGGGTATGTGGTCGGAGGATCGCGGGGCATCGCCGATGCATCGGCGATTCGGCTCGGTGCGAGGCTAGAGTTTCTCCACGCCGACGTCGCCGATGCATCGTTGACGTTGCCGATGCATCGCCGATGCACCGCCGGTGTATCGTCGATGCGTCGCCGATGCATCGGCGACGTGGTGCAGCCACCCGACCCCATCTACGCGGACCACATCCAGGAGGCCTCTCAAGGCTGCCCCAGGAGTTGCCCCCCCAGCCCGCCCTCTTCTTACCAGTTTGAAGCATATCCCTATCCCTATGTTTGACATCACCTCACCTCGATGCCGATCTTCAGGATTCCCTCAGTTTCTGAGGGCCTATCCCTAAGATTGTC